CCTTGAGAGCTCAGGTTAGGACCAGTGCGTCAGCGTCTCTTCACCTGTTCCCACAGATTCAACTCTCCAAGACTGGAATCTTGCTGAGATACCATAGGGGCCTTAATAATGATGATAGCCTTAATCATGATACTAGGTGTTTGGGGCCCAGTAAACCATATACTTATAATAAGGAACCCCCCAAAATAGTATAGGTAGTTGTTTAGTCCTCTATAGCAGGGTTTAGGGTTTAGGGATGTTTAGGCTGAAAAGCTTAAGCTAGCACACAACAAAGAGGAACGCATACGATTTACTATACATGGCCCCATATCATGGTATCCTCGTGGTGCTTCATCTCAAGAACCTTAAACCCTGAACCCTAAAACCCCAAAACCCCCAAACCCAAAGTTCGCTTACAGGAACCCCTAGGGCTCAGCTAAGGGGCAGAACTGGGACCTTCTTGGAGGTTTGGGGTGCCCATACGTAATCGGGTACGTCCCAGAGGGTCCTACTTTAAGTACCTATAGTGGAACCCTGCCTGTATTGGGGACACTTAACCAAACCATCATGGTAATTCCTACTAGAGAAACCCTGCTTTCTACTAGGTAAGTACTTAGGGATCCCTTCGGGGCATGTGGTCCGAGCTTCGCCCGGGTAACTATAGCTAAGGACTGAGGCTAGAGCTACACGTGCCCCTGCACTGCAAGTACCTCCGACCTCCTGAACCCTGAAACTCCGAAAGCCTTAAATCCCTGATATCTGTAAACCCTTAACCCCAAACCCTAAACCCCTAAGCCCTAAACTATTGAATCCTTGAACGCTGAAGCCTTAACCCCAAGACCCGCAGCTCCAGGCAGAGGTGGTGGTTTAGGGGTTTATAGGGTTTAGGGTTTAGGGGGTTTAGTTTGTCGGGTTTAGTCTTTACAGTAGAAGCCAGAAAGTTGGTATATCATTATCGTAACCCCTTTAAGGTAAGTTATAGGGGATCCTACCACGAATCCACATTCCAACTTTCTGCAGTTCCCTTTAGGGTTTAGGGGTTAGGGTGCTTGAGACAGGCTTTCAGGAGCTTCAGGGGATCTTTTCTCGAGCCTGACTTGCCCCAAGGGTCTTTTAAAGGACCCCATAATGAAGTACTCGTTTCTTAGGATAGTAGTTATGTAGGTTAGGATTTTGGCGAGTATATGATTATCGTGTACTTGGAATTTTTGGGGGTTGGGAATGGCACATCGAATCCTTAAAAGAAAACGCGGGGAGGGTTTCATATAGGGGCCTTAAGAATTAGAATAGGGTGGGGCCCATTATACTATATTCATAATAAGGAACACCCAAAATAGTATAGGTAAGTATTAAGGCGCCTATATTAGGGTTTAGGGCTTTAGGCATCGAAGCCTTGAATAAAAACACCGTGAGAAGGTTCAGTGTGAAGGGTTTTCCGCATCAAACCCTTAAAACAATACAGATACCAAACCCTGAAACAGAACCTTTAAACTGAAGGAACCTAAACTCCAAACCGAAAACCCTAAGCTCCTACAGTAAATCCTAAACGTCGCATGGAACCCAAATCTCCGACTTCAAACACCAAACAGATCACGCCGGGGCTCTACGGAGTGGGTTGGTCCTACAGCTGGGAGCCCCGTGTACAATGCCATAATACTTGCTAAGGCAGAAGGCAATGGAATGATAAACGGAATCCTAAAAATGCATTTGTCTTTGTCTTGTGTATGTGGGCACAAGCATCCAGATCCTGCAGGGGACCTGGGTATGTGCTGAAGTCTTCCACGACGAAGCACCATATATGTTCTCAAAGTGAACGCCCATTAACAAGTTGTGAGGGTCTAGGTGGATGCAGCTAGCAGCCCAACCGCCATGGGACTGCAGGATAAGAATGAGGGCTTCTCATTAACCCGGTGCCAGTCAATCAATACTTTCCTGGAAGCGTTTAGGTGCTACTGATACAGTGTGGTCTCTACTGGTACGTTTATCTGCTGTTCGAGTCTGGTACCACCCCAAAAAACCTAATTCCATGGGCCCCAAACCTTAATGAATCCTGAGGCCTGCAGCAACCTCATGAACACAAAAGATGCTAGCATCTCAAGGGGGCAACTGTCTCTAACAATCCTGTAAAAGCGAAAAAGCCTACTGTAAGAACAGCTCATTAGGGTTCAGGGTTCATGGGTTAGGACTTATAGGGTTTAGGGTTACGAAAAACCGCCTAGTACTAAACCATCCTACACCCTAAACCCTACACTAACCCTACACCCTAAATCCTAAATCCTAAACCCTAAATCCTAACCCTATAAGTCCTATATACACACTTGACCCTAAATCCCAAACCCTACCGAAGCCAGGCCCTCCAAAAGCACCCCAAGCGAGCGGACCTCCTAAAAGATCCCTCCGGCCAGGAGAGCTCATCAAGGACCTGGCAGTTCAGGCTTTTGGGTTTAGGGCTTACATGTAGGGTCTAGGGTATAGGGCTTTTGGGTTTTGTGGTTTGGGGATTATCTTCAAAGCATTGAGGGCTTAAGGTTTAGGCGTTTGGGCTTGTGGTTTAGTGCTCATATTTAGGGTTTAGGGTTTAGGATTTTGGGTTTGTGGTTCAGGGAATGAATATATATATATATATATATATACATATATACATATATCTATATATATATATATGTATGTATTTATGTATAGGCTTTTGGGTTCGTGGTTCAGGGTTTAGGGTTTACGGCTTCGCGGGGCAACTGCTTCAGGTGCACAGGGTTTGGGGTTGGAGGGGGGTTTGGGTCGGTGGCAATTGCTGTAATGACTTGTACAACAAATTGGGGCTTAGGGTGTGTGTATATATAGATATACACAAACACACACATACACACACGTACAAAAGTGGGTGTGTAGGATGCAGGGATCAAACAATTTGCGCTAACAAACACAGAGTGTGCGGGGTTTAGGATTGGATGCATCTTTAGGATCCAGGGTAAGTACTGTAGGGTGTAACTAAGGTATACAGGTTTAACTTTAGGGCTTACTCACAGTGCATGGATTTAGGTAGCTTTAGGGAAGAGGGTGTTGGGAGTTGGGATGGAAGGGGCAAAGGCGGCTGCTTCAAACCCCAGTCAGTATCCCGTTGGCAGACCCTTTTTTGTACTCAGGGCCGGAAGTTGAAGGGTAAAGGGGCACTACTAGGCCCTTACTGGGCCACCTAGGATGTATAGGCCCCAAAAGGAGTGCGAGGTCCAGAACAGCAAAGGCTCTCCACCGTACCGTGCGAGCCTCCAACTTTTCGGTCCTCCCAGGTTCACCTTCAACTTCGTCGCCAGCAGGTCGCTGCCATATTAGCTTTAGACCAGGATCCAAGCAGAAGGACTCGCTCAGGAAGTGCCGCTGGGTGCTCGCAAGTGCTCCCTCCGCAACCAGGCTTTGCGGTCATCTTGTCAAGCAGCTATTCTCCCAAAGTGTCCAAGTATCATTATGGCATATACTTCGACCCCCAAAATACCCTATAAGTATATACCATAACGATACTTGGACCCTTTGGGTCTATCGCAGAAGAGTCGACAAGGATGTAAGCGCGACTTGTGTACTCTCGTTCTGCAATGCGCATCCCCGGTCATCGGAGCTGGGAAGCCACTGATGCCTTGGTGCCCTCGCCGCCAAGAGCGGCAAGTCTTGTCTTGTTGATGTGTGGCTGACTTGCTGAAAAATGCCAAAGTCTTGTCTTGTTGATTTGCGCTCCAGCTATCAAAGTACGGCTTGCTGTACCCAAAGGCCCCAAAGTAGCTCCTTTTTGGGGTTCATACATAGAATCCTATAAGGTAATCCCAAGAAGGAACTACTTTGGGGCCTTGGGTAAGGGCAACGCAGCAGTTTTCCGTGCTTCAAATGGCCTATTTTCGGGCTTGGGACCTGCAGGGCTCATCTACATCTCCAGATCCGAGGCGCCCTGCGTTCATCAGGGAGAACTCTTGTTGCAGGGATCCCCAAATACCCAAAGAGTCCTCTGTACCGATATAGTAGAATGTAGGGTTTCCATATTAAGAATTACTATGACTTGGGGAAGTATCCCCCATAACAGTACATAGGACCCTTTGGGATAAGCAATGCCGACACGAACTTTGATCCCAAAACCAGAGCCCTGAATCTCATGATCGATATGGTTCAGACTTCCCCTAAACCCTCCACCCTCAACCCCAAACTCTCTAAGAACACTCTTCAAAAGGGATCCCTACTGAACGACCCGAAAAACTACTCTGAACTTCCGCAGGCATGAGCACCGCGCCCTCGGTCCTAGGCCCAAAGCGTAAGGGGCTCTGCGTGACTGCGCTGTAAGGATGCGGGTTTTGCGGTTTCAAGGTTCAGGGTGTACGTTTACCCTCAACCCGAAGAGCACTAAAAGCCAGATGTCCCCAACCCTAAACCCTAAACCCTAAACCCTAAACCCTAAACCCTAACCCCTAAACCCTAAACCCTAAACCCTAACTACGTGAAGATAAGATAAATGTTGTGACAAGATCAAGACGAAATCCCTCGACGGGCACTCTCTTTTTTCGAGAAACAAAACAGCCTTCGCGAATCACCAATGCATGCTGTGCCTGGGACTTGATCGCACGCACTCCCCCTCGCCACACCTCCAAGGTGGGGCGAAACCGGAGAATCCTTCAGGAAAACGCTCATCTTTCAAAGATAATATTATCGACCAAGTCCGTCTGTACGCACGATTATTCGCAGCTGGCAGGGACAAAAGCTGACGCTATAGTATCTCGATTCCGATTCTGTAGCCTAGTGCCAACAGTCCTTCTTAAAAGGAGTTCATCTCGAGACATCAGCATCCCTCTTCTAACACTAACAAGACCGAGGAGTAGGGTTAGGACCCTACAGATCCGTTTATCCTTAAACACCCGATATAGAAGATCGGGACACTATGTTCACTCCTCAGTCTCCAAGGTCTGTTTCCTTTCTACCAGACACATTGCCCGGAGGACAACTCCGTTCTTAAAAACCCTACTGCAGCAGGAACTCGCTTTCAACAAGGCTCAATCCGATGAAGAAGGCTCACTAGCCCGCTCGAGATGCACTAGATAATCCCCAAGTAGCCATTCGAAACCAGATTGAGTCTCATCGTCATAAGCCGTCACGTCGACAGGGTATCCCGCTCGATACAAACAAAACAGAATCCTATCTCGATGAGGAACCCCCACATGTAAAGGCAGAGGCACATACAAACCATCCGTCTGGGTACCCTGTGCGATACGGCAGGGAATGTTCCTGCTCCACCAGCGTTTTACTACTCTGAGCACTTCCCAGCCCCCAAGGAGGAGGGCAACTTGAACGCACGCCCACAGAGTAGATCCGTCACATACACACTCTTCAGAGGTTACCGCGCTCCCTCCAGCAGAACACACCGTGGCCTCAAAAGACCAGACCTGAACCGCCTGTGAGTCCTCTGGAAGCCCAAGGGCCTGACCAACCGAAGACGCCCCGGCACTCTGAACAAGAGCCCACCAAATCAGTAGCATCCAAAGAACCCTTCCGAAGACCGAAACCGAACCAGAGCCACCAATTGCGGAGCCTACAGGACTTTCGGAAGAGCCAGACTGAATCCCCGAGGACTGACTAAGGTCTCCAACCTCAAGCCTCGCCTTAAAGCCTGCCCAATCCCCAGTACTCAAGCCCTGCACTACTTCTTCAACTTCACTCTGGCTCCAGCCCTCAAGTGGAACTTCAAACGCGTCGTCAACATAGCGAACTACTAGAGCTCCTGGTTTGGCTTCATAAGTAGTCAAAGAGCCTGGAAACGCACCCAAAGCGGGATCACCAGGGGAAATTTCCCCTAGTTCTGGATCTGTTGCCTCATTTAAGTCTTCAGAACCCAAAGAGACTACAGAAGGCTCAACAGTTGTCTGGTCCCCAGACTCGTCTGATGAAGCGTCAGACCCATTCAGCAACTCTTCAAAAACTGGGGCATATGGCGCAACCTGAACTTGAAGCACAGGAGCCGCAGCTCCATACCGAAACTCATCTAGGGTAGCATCATCCTCATTATCATCCCGGTCGTAAAACGGATGCACACGCTCTCCATTCTGCAAGTAAGCTTCGGCCGCATCAAAGGACTGCGCGCCATCTGTAACCCTAGTGATGCTCGTGGCCCGCAGCCACAATATCATAGCATATACCGAATGAGTCATGAACCCTTGTGCTGCACAGCGAAGCTGTCCCCATCCCTCGTCCCTACTACCTAGAAACGACAAAAGTTCGAACCCAGCAACAGAAAACACTCTCCACAGGTAGTGTACATACAACCCAGGTGCCCACAAGACTAAGGGAAACGCCTGTTCAACGCCCTCGGCGGGATTGGGTTGATCCTCAGGTTCGGGAGGGTAACCTTGCAGCACAAAAATCTCTGTCATCTCAAACCACTGGGGACCCTCAAACCGCAGAACATGAGGTCCCCTTCGAAGCCGATCTACAATCGCTCCTGCCATTGCATACCGAACAATGTTCGACACCGCTCGCAATGCAAACCAGCTAGACGATCGGACCCCTAAATACCACAGAACATGCTCGCCTACACTAGTCAGGATCTGCACCACGAAGTGAGTCTGTAGCCACGTCCCTATATATGGCCAAGTCGCAGGGTCTAGTTCAACTTCAGCTAAATCCTCATACGTAGGCTCCGGCCACGGAGCTGCTTGCATTCCATGACTAGAAGAACTACCACCTAGCCCTTCCTCAGCGAACCACTCAACTACATCGTGACTGCAGGCACTATCCCCTGGGCGCACCCTCGCCCTGGCATCACCACCTACCCGATGCCGTAACTCTTCCCTGGGAGTTTCCCTGAACAAAAAACCTGCTCCTAGTGCACCTTCAGCGATACTAGTGATCCTATCCTCACGGCCAATGACGAAACCAGGCGCGTTCCCGCTGCACTGGCTCCCCCCAATCTGAACAGCAGAATCCGATGGATCTTCAGGGCTCTGGCTCCCCCCAATCTGAACAGCAGAATCCGATGGATCTTCAGGGCTCTGGCTCCCCCCAATCTGAACAGCAGAATCCGATGGATCTTCAGGGCTCTGGCTCCCCCCAATCTGAACAGCAGAATCCGAGGGATCTTCAGGGCTCCGGCTCCCCCCGATTTCCCCGAACCTTGCTGAAACCGGGACCCAACCCGAACCATTAAACACGAACTCCGCTCGAAACTCAGGCGCATTAGCCGTAGCAGCTCTGGTGCCAGTATCACCCCATTGCTCAAGCAAAGCCAGAACAGCATCGCGAGCAAGCTCCCGATTAACCCTTCTTAGGTTCCGCCACGTCTCCCTCCAGATACCCAAGAATTGATACAGAAGCTCCCATCGAACCCCAGAAGCACCTAACAGGCTTACACCCCTAGAAGGAAGAACTACTTGCTCACCAGCATTCGGCCCCGACGAAGAGCTCGCTGACGGATCCTCTTCCGGTCCAATCCCTGAAAACCATGCAGGAACTGAACCGAAACGCTGCAAAAACTGGGGAGGCTCTACCTCTCCACCGGCCGCGATCTGCTTCCTCAATCGAGCCCGCTGAACAAAAGTCAGACCGGAACTTCGTTCGGTCTGCTCTAGCTTTATCTGAGCCTCCCTCCAAGAACCCTCATCAAACGAGGACGAACCGTCACTGTCTAGACCATCCCCTTCAGCAGATCCGGTCTGAGCTTCAGCCGCGAAAGCACTATCATCTTCGCACACTGGCACTTCAGGGCCCTCCGCAACATCCGAACAAACCGAGCTTACTGCCCTACCAGGCCAAAACCATCCCGCGCCTACAACACAAACCGCAGTCACTATCCAAGCAACAACCCAGAACAGCCACTCCTGACCCTCTCGAATCCCAGGATGATCAGGCTGTCCCTTCACACGCGGTACCAAGGCGAGTAGGGCGAGGCCTGCCAGCAGTTCGGCAGGGAGAACCGTTTGACTACACACACTTCGGCTCAAGACCCTTGCGGACGCAACTTCAGCTACATCAGGTCTTGGCGCTCTTATATTTGCAAGATTAAGTAGGTGTAGGATACGGGGCCGGCTTAGTGGTTTGGTTCCAAGGTCGGCTATCTGCACGTCTCCAGGGATATGGAATACACGGAGTATTCCCGCGTCGATGCGTTCCCTAGCAGAAATCGCCCTCATCCTCAAGTGGCGGCTACGCCAGCCACTGCTCACCGGGTCGAAAGATCTGAGAGCTGCTTGATTGTCTCCCTGGAGGGAGACAACCGTGTCCTCCCCAAGGAGTTCATCGAGCAATGATTGAATGCATTCAGAGACTTGGACCCCGTGTACCATGGTAACCAGCTCTGCCTCTGCACTACTAAGCGTTGTGAAGGCTTGGCGGGCTGATTCCCAACCAATCGGTACCCCTTTCCACAAAACAATCAGAGACTGCATTGATCTATCCCCACCGGGGCTGTGGGAGGCATCTGTATACACTTCCAAAACCTTTGCAGATCGAGGCAGGGCTAGCAGGCCGTGGTCAGCGAATGGGCTACCAACCTCAAAAGGCACTTCAATCGCAAGATCAATGGTAGACTTCAGGTACTTAATGGTCTGTAGACCGATAGCAATTGAGAGCTGCGGTACTTTCGTTGCCATTTGCCCACATCGGGACACTGCGTATGAGATATCCGGCCTCGTACGCGTTGAAACCCACAACAGCGCTCCGGTAACAGCTTGAGCTTCCTTTATTTCCGAAGGCGTCACTGACTCCGGCAATTCCGGATCAGACCACTTCGTGATAGGCACCGTCGCTTCCTCCGTGATGTTATAGCGCTGGAGAAGTTCACGAATGTATGCACTCTGCGCCAACCTGTATCCCGAAGCTGTTCTGGAGATTTCCAAACCGCAGAACGTAACTGCTTCCTCTCCAATCCACTCCGGCTCCGACGTCTTCCAGAGCATGCGCACAACCTTGATAACCTGGTGAGCCAGTTCAGACTCAGCAAACAATGCCAAGTCGTCCACATAGACAACCAAAATACCAGCTATATCCCCCAGGCCATCTGAAGTATTCGGGCGCAACACCCATAGCGCATCATCCGACTTAAGCTGAACTAAATGATAATCTACACCGTTATGGGGAATCCGCAGTTTGCGAAACTCTCCATCACGGTACCTACCCCAATCCCGCGGAGACGTAGGCAGCCCATACAGAGCCTTCTTTATCCACCACCGATGCTCAGCATTTAAGATACCCAACTCAACCAGGAAATGCGGCGGCTTCACAATAATACGCTCTTCGGTCCCTTGGTTTTCAGTCCTTATAGGAGCATACAGGAAGGCCGATTTCACATCGATCGTAACTCCCACCCAGGTCACGTACCCAGCAGCAAAAGTAACCGCAACCTTAACCGACAGAGCCTCGGCTCCTGAAGCGTACAACTCCTCTCGGGTAAGACCAAGCTGCTCAGTAGGTAAATAGTTCCCACAGCACACTGCACGACATCTCCTCTTGCCTGTTCCAGCCTTACGTGTCAGTACAGCCTTTCCGGGCAACTGAACTACTGAGATACCTTCTTTAACCCATTGGTCAACATCAGACGCCGTTACTCTATCTACCGCCCTATTGGTGGTCTCCAAACTAACTACCTCCTCGGTCGCTGCTTCTCGCCATTTTCCAAGTTCCCCCCGGGCTTCTACCAAACTTACTGTTCTAGTCTGAAGAAACTGGTCTGCGCCGGTGACAGGATGCTCCGTCAATGGTACGTCAACACTCAACGCCCTAACAGACCCCAATCTATCCCAAACATCCCAGTTATCAACCAGCAGATTTTCAAGCACGTCCCGCCGTCGTTCTTCACCCTTTAAAACCTCGACAGCCTGGCACAAGCTATCAGCGTCTCCAGACCACTCATTCAACTCGTCCGCAAGCAATGTACACAACCGAGCCGTTGCTCCATGCTCCCAGACTAAGCCCTCTAAACAACAATCATCAAAGGCACCACTAGGGAAATCAACCTCCCATTCCTCAAGCTCTGGCTCATCTATCCGGATCGAGGCCACAGACTTCTCTCTGGAAGGCACCTCCCCTCCTGCCTCTTCTATGTTTGGAACCGGAAAACCCAAGCTCAAAAGCTGATCATAGCACCCCTTTATGGCACTACGAAACTCCCGAGGTACAAAAGCTGAAAGGACCCAACGATCGCCGATCCAATCCTCTGAGGCATGCCAGCATTTTCCTGGAAACACTACCGGGCCACGCCGCAAATCATACACCGACCCTGGGCACTTAGAACCATCGGGTAGTACCCTACAAACAGTCCCTTCATCATCCTGAAGCCACAAACCACCTCCCTTAAAATCCCCAACAGCTTGAGCACGAATCGGAAATTCGGAGGCGTTCATCAAATCCCTATGGGGAAGCATACAAGCATTATGAGAAAGGTAAACCGTAGTCCACACACCATCAGGATCTCTGTTCTTCAAAAAACCGTTCAAGTACCGGACTAGATCAGGGCATCGCATCGTGAAGCTAGAGACCCCTCTAAACCCTCCTACAGCATAAAGGCCACAAAGCACCGCAGACCCTTGCCCTTGGGCTATAGTCCTTCGAGTAGGGGGAAGCTGGTTAGCACAGCCACCGAGAATCTCTAGACACTCACCGACAGACCAATCCCCTCGACGAATCCCATCCTGTATACGGTCTCCCAAACCTCCTAAACCCTGATCAGGACCATCCCTCTCACCCCCAGACCCTTTAGCAGTAAAGCCCTTTCGAACCCAAGGATCCCTTTGTTCTAGAAAATCCTCTACTTCACTGCTCACCTCACTTTCACTTTCATCAGAGCCAGATACTTCCTCATCATTTAAAAATTCCGGAGAGGGCTGAAAAGGCTCCCCCCCAGGTGATAACCTGGCAACTCGATGACAAGTCGGCACATCCGCAGCAGCTACAACTCGCACCGCAAAAGAGGAGCGCTTTCCGGTTAGGCGATGACGAGGTTTAGGGACGGCCGTCAGCTCACCCCGCACAGGAAAGATAGTACTAGTCAACAAAACCTTCCTATCCTCACCTTCCCCTATCAACACCAAATGCCCCCCTGGCGTATGCGGAGCTTGGCCAATATAAACGCCCCGTACAGTCCTAGGTCGCCACTGTGCCTCATATCCAGTTTGTGTTCGTTGGCGCGCTTCCACAGGCACTCCAAAAGGCGGCAGCAACGGCTGAGGCACACCTAACCCCTCAAAGAACCTTACCCAATTTCGTGCCGACGCATGGAGCAGCGCTAATGGCCAAAACTGACGCCCCACATGGGAAGTCAGCAAAAGCTTGCGAGTACCCGCTTTAAGATTTTGCACAGCTAACTCAGCATGATTTCCAGCGGGCGCTTCTCCTGGGGTCCAGGAAGGATGGATGCCCTGGGCCCGCATCCAAGCTACCAGCGGCTTAGATCTAAGCTCCTGTGCCCGGTCAGCGTGGAACCTATGTACCGGCAAGCCGTGAGCCTCTAACTTATTGATGATAGCTTGGACGTGTCCCAGAACCTCCTTCCCCCCTTTTGTTCGCAACGGGACCCCCAGAAACAGGGTTGTATTTGTTGCTGGGGCCGACTCCGACTCTTCCAAGACAATAGGGCCTACACCCGCACCTACAGGATCATCCTCAGGCCTCTTCCCTTTAACCCTGTGGGTAACAGCCTTAAGGTCAACCCCCGACTCGAGCTCCCCGAATAATTCCGGGAACAGCTCCGGCTCGGCCGCGTCACGTGAGACCTCATGCTCCTTATCTTCGCCCTCGGGCTTATCAACAGAAACAAGGGGTCGATAATTCCCTGGTACAGCATACGAACAGGCTAGGAAATATCGATAACCTCCGCCCTTATCCCTACCTGAGGCAACCGGATCGAACGAGACCCCCGGTACGAAGGGACCAGCTATATCAAAAGACGCCGAGTGTACCGTGGGGAAACCAGTACGCCAATGGGACCTACGCCTACCCTGCGCCTGTACGCACACGGGACACCCTTTAAGGTAAGGGGAATGGTCACTACGCAGGTGCAACTCATATCGCTCCTTTTCAGTAAGCCTTTTCAACAGGGTTTCACGATCCTTAGCTTCCTTAAAACGCTCTAGATCCGCCTTCCACGTAACCCAAAAGCCCTGAAGCACCCCTGCTAACCGAAGGGGCCAAGTCTCACTCCCCGCAATGTCCCCGAACTCACTAGTCCTAGCTCTGCCCGAACTGTGCCCCTGCAAATGCAGATGTTCATACAGAAACCACGAGGAGGTCCATAACTCAGCAACCCCTTTTTCCCCTACCCCAATAAAACCCCTATCAAAGGAAGCCAAATGGAATCCGTAAGCCTCCCCGAATTGGCGTCCGCCCTTCGACATCGCGACCAACTCAGGTTCCTCAGAAGGTCTACTACCCTTAAAGGAGTCAAACTGTTCCCAAGCAACAAAGATGGGGGACAAAGCAGTAGGGTCACAAACCTTAACCGGTGGGTTGCGAAGTCGATCAGCGGCCTTAGCTAGAGCCCACTGAACCAACCCCTCAGGACTATTTACGCCTTCAGGTAAGGTCTCCGACAAATCCTCATCTTCAGTTACCAAGCTCCTACCGTCCTTTACTGCTTGTGCCACAGCAACCAGAATGAAGAACCTAAGCATAGCAACCAGCCCCCGATGAGGCTTATCACCGTCCGAAGACCCCTTAGCCCAGTCATAGCCCTCCGAATCCTGAACCACACCTCCGACAACCCCAGTCAAGGCTATCCTCAACAGGTGTCCGAAAACCAACGAGCTGCCAAGCCCCTTCTCGGACCCCGTGACCTTCAATACCCTACCACAACTCTTCCAACTCTGAATCCTAGATCCACAGCAAATCAACACTGACTCCGGTGCACTTCGGTCGATAGACCGTCTCATCCGTCGATTCCACGGAAACTCTGCCCAATCCCGGCTTTCAAGCGACACTGAGGATACACAGGCGCGTGCTAAAAGCTCCAACGGAAGCCCGGGAAACATGACCCTCAGAAAGCTCAACTGAACCCAATCCTCAAGCCCTTCCTGTTCCCCGCGCCTCACCTGTCCTTGGAACCAACTTCAGACATTCCCCTTATTGAGGTCTACAACAGCTGAATCCAACTCCAGCTTTCGCACCCCGTTAGCTTTCCTCACCTTGTCCTCATACCGGCCTAACAAAGACAGCCCAACATCCCTAGGAATCAAAGGACAACCCTTCACAACATGCACCTCTAGCTTTCCCTCCTTTGGGTGCTTGATTTTACAGCCATTTCTCTTCCAGGAGATACTAAAACCAAGTTCCACCAAATAATTAGCAGGGAGAATAACCTGACAGGGACCGCCATGCAACAAAGTGCCATAGTCGTTGACCCTCAGATCCGTAACCCCACTCGCTAAGTCAACTCTGATGCTCTTAGCTCCCTTTAGCTCCTGGTCACTGGCTGGCCTTAAGGCATTCGTCGCTCCGCTGTCCACGAGACAGAACATAGGGTCAGAAGCACTCGTCAGAGCACTCCTAAGCCAGGTAAGATCCAGCCCATCATCCTCAATCCGCAAAGGCTTCAAAGTCACTCCCTTCAGCAACTTAGCCGCCTCCGCTATGAGCGCCTCCTGACTAACCCCTGGGCTGGAGCTCCCCGTACCAAGACTTCCAGCACCCTCTACTGGGACCTCCGCTTTGGCACCGCCATCTTCTATCACCCCCTTAGCCTGAGCGCCAGCCTTAGCCTTAGCCTTAGGCCTACCACCCTTACCTGCCGGGGATCCGGCCTTAGGAGAACTATCGGAAGCCGAAGCGGGGTCCCCTTGCACCTGTCGGTGTTCCGCTGGAACAATCGTGCACTCTGGACGGTAGTGTCCCGATTGACCGCACGCTAAACAGCGTGATTCCTTTCTAGCCTTAGCCCGATCATGTCGGAAGTGACAACTATCACCGAACCTGCAACCCGAAGCATCCGAAAACTTATGGCACAACTGCCCTACCCCCTCAGAGGCCTTACCTTTCCCCTTACCCTTACTTTCACCAGCACCCGCATTAACAGCAGCTACCGAAGGGTTCGGTGCGGTACCCGCATTCTGTGGAGGGGCGGCAGGAGGCGACGGGGCCTTAGGGGCTACGTTATCCTTACCGCTACCGGCAGTATTCAGAGCCGCTCCCCTTGCCCGCTTATCGCTTCCCCCAAGATTGTCACTAAGGGCTGCGGCTTCACTCTCCGCCTGGAGCAACCGCACGAGTTGAGTCACTCCCGCGGTAGTCGGATTGTAATCCAAGGCAATATTATGCCTAAAGGAGTTAACCCTGAACCCAACCATTGGATTACTACTCAGAAGCTGAGCAACCGACCCATCCACCCCCTTCAGGAGCAACGACGCATCGGGAAGGGTCGCATTTATTTCCGACGCCCGTTGGAATGACTGTTGCCATTTTCTTAGCACTCGAATCGCGTCGTGGAAACTCTTACAGACCTCAGGATTGACGAGTTGGCTCAACAGCTGAGCTCGTTCACTCGAGCCCCCGGGTTGGTAGGCGCAGAGAATACGGAACATAATTGCAGAGGTACTCAGCCAACGGTTAGTAATGATGTCTTCGCGCACCGACCCGGGGACGCATGCCAAGAGCAAAGTGACTGCCCTGGATTCTACTCGCTGAAACTTCTGGACATCAAATGACGCAACCACCGAGCTGGGGTCTAGTCCTAACCTCCCTATCGGATCGGCTACTAACCAACGGGAGTACCCCTGATTTGCCGCAACTTCGACCGCCCCATACCACTCATTTGCCGAAGGCGAAAGCCCAACCAAAATCTGTCTAACCTGCGCCAACCAGTTACCGCATACTACTGCACTAGTCGAGAGGTCCGCCTGCGCCAACTTAGGTAGTTCACTAATGTACTTAGCCGGCTCCTCAGGCCTTTGATCAACCCGTATCATCCCCGAAGGCATAGGACCCGAAGCAGCACCACACCCAGGTGGAACCCCATAAGCTCCCAAGCCGTACGACCCATATGGCGCACCAGCACCACCAACCTGACCCGAAGTCCCTACACACCCTAAGTCGACACCCGAACAACCCCCAGCGGCCCCTGACATTCCCCGGCCTGCTCCAAGAGCCCCGATGCCGAAGGATGGCCCACGAGGTGAAGCCGGCGGCGGGCCCGGCGGCGGGCGAATCACAGTTCCCCCCGGGGACAGAGGATAGCCGTTTTCATCAAAACCTTGAGGCAAACCTCCCGAAGACCTAGGAGTATGAAAGCCCCCCGAAGCCTCTAACGCCTGGGCGGCAAACTGCCTCATAGTCTGAACCTTAGCCAATTCTAACCCTGGGGCCGAAGGCGGAGGAGCAACCGGAGGCGGGGTACCCATCACACTCGGAGGCACAGTCATCCCTCCTACCCCCTGAAAACCCAAACACCCCGAAGCCTGCATCATCTCCATCATCCTACGGGGATCCGCCATAGAAGGTTGGGCCTCAGAAGAGTTAGGTACACTTGCCCCTTGACCAGAGCCTCCTAACCTAGGGATTGGGAAGTGCGCAGACCAGGCCACTTCAGGCGGCCACCTACTCTGTACAGCAACAGCAGCACTGCTAGGCGGCAACCCACCATAGGCCTCAGGCAAATTTACGCCGAAAGGCGCAGCGAACGACACCGGCGAAGAACTCGGTCCTGGCATCTCGCCTTGAACACCGCTATGCCAAGATGAGTGGGAGTGTAACTCTGCAGAAGCCTCAAGACGTCTCTTCAGCACCTTATTCTCCTCAAGAACTTGGCGCAGCATCACCTCCAAGCTTCCGGTTCCACTGGCATCCGGAACCAACTCCTCTTCAGTCGTTGGCTCACCAGTAGCCACACTCGCCTTTTCCGTTCCCTTAGTCCTCTGAGCATCTTCGGGAGCCGGCACGGCAGCGGGCCCTCCAACATTCACAGGAGTTCCAGGAAAACTCGTATCGCTCATCATAGGCCTACTTTCTACCCCGGTTTCCACACGCGCAACTCTCGGTCCAACCACATCACCAGGAGCAAAAGCTGCTGAGTAATCCGGCTCCGCTCCCTGGTCATCCGTCCAAGCGCCCATCTGGGCTCTCCCATCCAGTTCGCCACGGCCAGATGTGGGTGCAGCCCCACCGTCTAGTCCACCAAGGAGTCTCTGTCCATCGGCGTCCAACGAGGGCGGCCGGTTCCGCATTAGCTGAATTTCAGTCTGTACCCTTTCGCTATGGAAAGGGTTAGCCACTGGCATCTGCCCTGGCTCAACCACGCCAGTTCCTTGGCCCAACTCCAACGTGCCAGGCGAAGCCTCGCCTCTGACTCCAGCACAGGAAGTTGAATCGGCAGCACCAGCTTGACTCAAGGCTGCTTGATAAGCGGCCTCACAGGCCCCGGTGTCAGTCTCCTGCTCCTCAGGGACACCTCCACGTCTCCTTCGAGACACCGTGTCCATGGCAAAGGACTAAGGAAACTGCAGTATACAAAGACGTACGTCAACAAGAACACTGTCTCACAGCCCCTTATGACTACCTACGGCTGATAACCTACGTGAAGATAAGATAAATGTTGTGACAAGATCAAGACGAAATCCCTCGACGGGCACTCTCTTTTTTCGAGAAACAAAACAGCCTTCGCGAATCACCAATGCATGCTGTGCCTGGGACTTGATCGCACGCACTAACCCCTAAACCCTAAACCCTAAACCCCTAAACCCCTAAACCCTAAACCCTAAACCCCTAAACCTTAAACCCTAGAGGCTTCAGAGTTCCTTTAACCCTGCCGGCGGTACAAAGACAAACAAAGCAGCTCAATCCAAAAGATGGCCAACAACTCGAGCTGCCAGTGCTGAAACCTCAGTCATCGAAGGATTTCGCTTGCTAACACCTCAGTCTTTGAAGGATCTTGGGTTGAGGGTTTGGGGTTTAAGGATTTAGGTTGTGGGTTTGAGCGGTTAGAGTTTCCAAGGGATCCGTGTCCCCTTCTGCTACTCCCTCGCCTACCCCTTCCTTTCCCTTTCGCTCGTTTCCTCCCCTGCTTTGTTTGCTTGTCCGCCGATCAGTGGTCGTCTTCATCGTGACCACGGTTTCACATCCCAGGACTTGATATAGGGGCCTAAATAATTAGAACAGGGTTTTAATTGGGGTATACTATACTGTAAATATAATAAGGAACCCCAAAATAGTATAGGTAAATATATGAAGGCCCGATATTTCATGGTAAGTCGAGCAGCCCATCGGCTTTCTCAGTTGCGGCTAGGCCGAGGTGGGCGACGCGAAGCGGCGTTGCAATTGATTATGGAAGGATTCGCGGGTTCTGAATGCAACAGCAACAGATTCCGATTGCTACAGTAATAGCGGCAACATACTGTATACCAATTATAGTTATTCCGACGCCTGTGCTATAGGAGCTGTTCGGATTTGTCTACGCATGTCTAGCCCCGTTGGATAAACACAGGCCGGGATGGACTGGAAACTGACACTTGCAGGGAAGCATGGGCTATGCACCCAGACCTTCCAAAATCCTTTAAATAAGGAATATACCTTAAATTATAATAGGATCCCTAATATGATTTAAGGTATATTCCTTAATTAAGGGATTTTGGAAGGGCTATGCATCACGGTTCAGATATGCATGGACTGTACAAGTAACTAAGCCAATCACTCAATTTCTGAACCATGGTGCTGCGCATAAAGTCATAAACCCGAAGCGGAAACCCTAAACCCTAAACCCTAAACCGTAAGCCTGCCGTGTCCATCGCTCGCTTTGGTCCCCAGATCGAGGAGTCTCAATCTACCTGGAAATAGGCCTGACCCCGGCCTTGCAGACGGGAACTCCTGTTTCGGGTTTAGTAGGGTTTGAAAGAGCTCAATTTATGGGGTGTCAAAGAACCGTCAAAAGCTGGGTCCACGGCTTTTCCTCAACTTCTAGCAGCAGAATTGCCTCGTGCACCCGATTGCAGCATTAGGCCAAGCAGACTTGCTTAGCAGGGAACAGCACTCAACAACCCCAGCTAACGGTATACTGGGTGTTGGGTATTATGAGGCTTTTGAGGGATCGAAGAGCAGTATCCACTGTAAAGGTAGTTGGGCTTCCGGAATCACTGCGCAACGGAGCTTTAAACCTACACACTTCAGCCCCCAAGGATGCCACAACGAGTGTGCACCTCATGCAATTTAGCTTGTCCCTCTTCCTCATTCCACAGGTACCTACTTTCGGTGCCCCAATTCGGGTGTCGGCCTCTTGCGAAGGAAGGCAAGACAGAAGCCCTAGCTCACAATACCTCAAGTTCCCAAAGTCTGAGCTTGCGCACCTAATTGTCTGAGAGGGTTTGTATACGATCTATCAAGGGCCTACAATCCTCTCTACAAGGTTCGGTTTAGGGCAGGGCTTACCTACAGTCTCCATTGTAGTTCCTTTTGGGTGTTACCTTTCAGGATCCAAAAAAATTTGGTTCAACCAAAAAAAGGAACTACAACGGAGACTATAGGTAGGGTTAAACAGCTTAACAAGTAGGTTTTAGGGGTTTATGAAGGTTTATGACGGTTTATTAAGGTTTATATCTCTACCCTAAGCCCGAAACCCTAAACCCTGGCAGGGCTTCGGGCTCAGGCTCGGGGACTGAAGTTTGGGGTTTAGGCTATAACCCTAAGGCTCAAAATGGCCCAAAAGCCTTAGAAAAATATGATCTTTAGGCCCAAAAGCCTTAAAATCTGAGTCCTGAGAGCCTTCGGCTGTAGGGTTTCAGTGTTGTTTACTCAATCCCTACATCCTTTCTGTGCGAAGCAACACAATGCAGCACAACAAAAAGCGAAGTAGAATAGGGCCTCAGTGCAGAGAGTAGGGTTGGGAGGTACATTATAAATTATAGATGCGTCATGAACCCTAAGGAATAGTTCTGGTAATTATTCGGACCCCTTGTGTAGCCGAAAACCCTCGTGAACCCTGAGCCCTAAGCCCCAAATCCTAAGCCCTCAGCTCTGAATCCTAAGCCCTGATCCCAAAATCCTCATGCACGCACAGGGTACTCCTGCGCTACAGTAGAAGCCCGACCTTATAGATCCCTTAAAGGAACCCTAAAGATCCCTTATAAAGGAACCCTAAAGGTCCCTTAAAGGAACTGTAGGATTACTGTATGCGAAACCCCTCATCGAAAAGGGCGCCCGGCCTGGCTGGCTAAGAACGCCAGCACCACCACCACGCTGAGCACGATGGCCTTAAACGCATCAGATTCCAAAGCTACCCAGAGGCCCCAAAGTAGTTCCCTTGTGGGATTACCTTATTGGATTCTATATATGAGCCTTGAAAAGGAACTACTTTGGGGCCTTTGGGTAAACGCATCAGATTCCAAAAAAAAGGGGCCTTCAAAATCAGAATAGGGTTTTGGAGTGTGTTATGCTTTTTTTACAATACGGAGCGCCAATATAGAATTGGTATTTATTGATTAGGTCCCTGTATGCCACCTTGAGCGAAAAACCCTAAACTCCAAAGCCCTAAGCCCATACCCACTGCCCCTGAACCATCAACTGCAAAAGCCCTAAACACCGAAGCCCCAGACCCCAATACCCCAAAACCGATTTCAGGCTCCTAATCGCTAAATCCTGAAGCCGCATGGCTTCCCCCTTCCAAGCATCAGGGACCTAGTCCAAGCATCAGGGACCTAGTAAGTAGGGCTTTTTAAGGCATCCGCTCCATAAAGGCTTAGCTTCGGGTCTTTACAAGATATAAGCATTGCATTGATGCTTTGCACGGGTTGTAGGGTCTCCACAATGGTCTGGAAGGCTGTAGGTGGCATCCACTTACGTCTGTCTGAGGATCTACATCCCAACATACTATTCTCTAAATTGCTGTTGGTTGCTATTCGGGCACTGGGACACTTAGGATCAGCGAGTTCGACCCTTTTTTTGCTATTGCAAGTCTGAGAAGCTTTCCGACAAGAACACCTCACAAACTCTGGCCATTGTACGTATCTACCCTTGTTGTGGGTTAACGAATACGTAGAACAAGAGGGTTCTCTATCGGGATTACGTGGTACGTTGCTGCCCTTATCCGTAGGGCAAAGTGGTGGGCCCGAGTGCAGGAGCCTACATAAACCTTTAGAGGCTGCTCACAATGATCTTCGAGGTTCGCCCGTATCACCTCAATATTGGTGTGTCTATGGCTGTACTCACGAAACCACCGAATACTCAACCCTAAACCCTAAACCCTAAACCCTGGGCAAGCATACTGCGGGACCTCGTCTTATACCTGGCGCCAGAGACCCCTCAACACCCTCACACTAACGTCCGAAACCCCGAAACCCCAAAAGCCTAAGAAGTCTAAACCCTAAAACCCTGAAGTCTAAACCCTAAAACCCAAAAAAAAGCTAAAACCCTAAAACCCTGAAGTCTAAACCCTAAGACCCCAAAAAAGCCTAAACCCTAAACGAAGTCCCGCCCGCAGACCCGGAAGCCCCGAACTCTGAGCCCCTCCGGTGTAGTTCCTTTCGGGGTTACCTTTAAGGATCCTTAAAAAAAACAGTTTGCTGAACCAAAAAAACGTGGAACTACAGTTCCTTTTGGGGGGGTTACCTTTAAGGATCCTTAACATAAGATTTGTTATACAAAAAAAAGGAACCGCAATGGAGACTATAGGTAAAATCCGAAACCCTCATACCTGCCCTGGGACACAGACGACTGGCTGCAATGAATTCACGGCCTCGGCTGGGGAGAGGTGCTGGGGGGCCTTGGAGCTCTAGCTATGTGTTGCATTCTTGCGGGTCCTCTTCCAACTGCAAGGTTGTTCCCCGAATTGCCGACGGGGGGGAGCCAGTGTGACGCTTGGGCTCCGGAAGCGAGAGATGATGCAGTGCTTTAGGGTTTAACTTTTGTTTGTGGACTCCTTTTCTCACTGCTGTTTGCGGCATCATTACTAGATACTATTATTACTTAGGGTTCAGGTTTTAGGGTTTAGGGGTTTCGGGGCACAGCGCTACAGGGCCCGAGGGCCTCTCGTTTCCTCGAATTCGAAGGGGTGCCGGAGAGTCGTTATACTGAGATTTTGGACATACCTTATACGGAACTGTAGGACTCTAGGGTATTATAAAATCCAAGCTTCCTACAGGGTTGTGTCGGGCTTCGTTGCTTGAGGGTTTAACGCTCGAGGGAGACAAAACTGCGATCCCCATCTTCCCGATCATGAAATTTCAAGCCCCAAGGCCAAAATCCTATAAGCCCTGAACGCCAAACCCCAAACACACCGGAGCTCGACAAAAAAGCCTATGGAGTTTCCCAGACCTTCCAAAATCCCTTAATTAAGGAATATATACCTTAAACTATAATAGGGATCCTATTATAGTTTAAGGTATATTCCTTAATTAAGGGCTTTTGGAAGGTCTGGGTTCCTATCCTAGCATCATCGGCGCAGGGTTTGGGTTGTCGGGTGTGGGTTTGGAGCTTGGGGTGGGGAGGTGCTACA